CTTTTGGGGTACTGTAACAATATAGTTAATATTTTTTAGCTAAAACACTCCCAGTCAAGCAGATCTAGAACTCACTGAGGTTTAGCTCATTAATTCAAAGTACCTCTTCTAAATTTACATAACCAACTAAAATTACATTACATCAAAAATGCTCATTATTTTAAAAAACCCATTTAACTGCTTTACTCTGATAAAAATGGAATCAGAGAGAAAGAGTTAAATTTCTCTTCTCCAGCCCTCCTAAAAGTGAGACTGACACACTAAATGTTAAAGCATTTCCTATCTACCCCCTACTGGTGTATAGTGGAAAAGTAGGTTGTGCTCCCTTGTTCTTATCTCTCACTGTAAGTGGTCTGAGTGCCACTACATGGGACAGGGAACCACACTAGGTGTGTGGGTTACACACACACACACACACACACACACATATGTAAATATTTTGTAAAATATATTGGTCAGTTTTTAGCTAAATGAAAATTATCCTGGAGACATAAGCAAGACTTTGGTTACTATATTTTCTAAATAAGAAAATATCTATAATCCAATTCTGTACTTTAAACACCTTTCAATGCAAATCTAAAAGTAGGGAAAAAAGCACAATATTGCCGACATAAAAAAGATATTTTATTCTGCATATTTAAATTTGCTTCCATTTCCTATTCACCTTCTAAAGGAAACAAACTATTATTCTTACGTAGAGAAGTCCCTACAGAGGATGATAGTGTATGCAGCATCTCAATGCAATGGGGAACTTTATGTGTAAATGATGGAGTGAGAAACCGGTTCATTGACTATGAGTCACCCTTAATCTCAGACCAGTCTCTGAGCACAGACCAATCTTTGTTGGGGTGGAACAGTGATTCCCAACCTTTTTCCCAAGGAGGAACCCCTAAAATATTTTTTCATATCCTCAGGAACCCCTACCTATGAAAACGTTTGATTGGCCAGAAAAAGTTGTCAGCGGGGAGCGCAATTCAATTACTGCTAAATTATTGTCAAGCTAAATTATTGCCATAGCTATGTGTGTTAGTTTTTCCCCCCGCAAACAGTGCACAATGGAATGGGGCAATTTTCATCTCCAGTCCATGTAAAACCCATGGCCAAGTAACTGTCATTGTAAAGGTGATTTTTTTATCAGTCACTTCTCTTTCTGTTTCATTCGTACTTGGCTCTGATAATTTTGATTCATTTTCACTGTCCTCTCCTTCACAGATGCGCCTTCTTTTCATATACTTACACTTTTTTTTTCCGACAACCACATGAAAATACTGTTACGTAGGTGAGATTTTAGATACATGAAAACATTGACAGTTTTGGTAAAAATATTAATTACAAAACTGTGCAAAGACTACAAATCTACAAAATAGCAAATGACCATAACGTGTACTAGAAAAGGCTAGAAACGTGGAGAATTCTGGGTAGATATGAACTGACCAAAACAAAGAGGCAGTTGGTAGTATACGAAGATTACTCCAGTATTGCCAATTGCCGGACAAAAATTCCTGCAATATTTTGAGGGATATTTGGAATTGTTAGCGATATTTCAAATTTTTTATTTATTTATTCCACGATCTCGTGGAACCCCTGACGATGGTCTGCGGAACCCGAGGGTTCCACAGAACCCTGGTTGGGAAACACTGGGGTGGAGGAATGGGGATTATTTAACATCATCTCATCTTCATATCCATTTATTCCATCCAACTCCCCTGCTCATTCACCTCTCCCCGCCCCTGCACCTAAAATGGTTCCTTAGTAGGCTGATAGGGATACACAAAAAATCATTTAAAAATGTAATCCATGTAACTGTTAAAAATCATAGCGGTTACAAGCACGGTGGGCTCTTATAGATAAGCTTTATACTGCAGAGCCTGCATTACAGCCAGCTCCCCAGGAGTGGAGCTGATAGTTGGGAATCTGTACATGCCAGGAAAGGCTTATAAGCCAGCTTCCAGGGTGCACTGGCTCCTGGCTGCTAGCCCCGCTTCCAGGGAGTTAGCTTCACTGCAGGCTCTACAGTATAGTTTTTTGCTGCAGATCCCACAGTACTGGGTGACAGCTGGCTCCCCGGGAACTGATGTGTAACCGCAACGGAAACCGATAAACTGATGCTTATTGGATAACCGTTTAAGCAGTTACACTTTTATATCCCTAAAGGCTATCAGTCCAGTGCTTCTCAAAGCAATGGCATGGGGAGGGATGCATAAGCCACACTCAGTATCTGCCACTTTGAACTTGGATATCCCATATAGTAACATTCTTAGGCTGCTCTCCAGTATGTTAAGGATTAAATAAAGTTACCTCACACAACATTTTCTGAAGAGATGTGGCTTTGACAGTTTCTTCAAGTTCATTCTCTGTGGCATACATTCCACTTTGGCACTGCTGACAGGAGGAATCCCACAGCATGCCTTGTTGAAATGCCGGTAAGTTGTCATAGCAAAGGCCCTACCAAATTCACAGTCCATGTTAGCCAGTTTCATGGTCACAGAATTTGAAAATCATAACTTTCATTATTTCAGATGTGAATTTGGTAGTGCCTTAATTATAGCTCTTCACTCTGCGTTAATATCAACCAAAACATAGGCTGTCAAGAGCGGAATCATCTGGCAGCTAAGAGTGTGGGGTGACTGAGGTGACTGATAGAAGCTTTTAATGGAGGAGAGAGGAGGGATGTGAGGTCCCAGGATTTGTGGGGAGGCAAACTGGGAAACATAGAGGCTTAAAAGGAGAGGTAGTGATAGCAGCATGTCATCATATTTACAGAGGCCTATTCTTCACTAGGAGAAAAGGTTTATTTTTATCACATTTGCGAACGTTCCAATCCTACAGCCAAGGCAAACGAAGTTTTAACATAAGTTATCTGGTTGAGGAGTCTATGGCTTACCTCAACTAATGTGCATTAATGCTACTACTTACCTTGTCTGCTTTAGGATTTTGAACATGCTAATTAACATATGCTAGAATGCACTTTTCTTTCCCCCCCAGAGAGAAAAAGAAGGCCACACTGATGCCAGACAACTGTTTATGTGAGGGTGAAGGGGAAAATTTGGGGAGACCCTATGTCAGAGCATGGGTGATTGGTGAAGGCAGTGATGGGGGAGGCAAGCCACCAGTCCCAGGAAGCCAAGCTGCCTCCCTGCCCCACAGGGAAGGTGGGGTGGCATGCAGCTCCAGCCTCCCGGGCCCCCAGGGAGGGCAGGTGGCACGTGTCCCCAGCCCCAGAACACAGGGAGGGCAAGAGCTGGGGGCAGCAACACTTTGTTCCCAGACTGCCTACAGCAGACGTTCTGGGGGTGGCATGTGGGTAGGGCCAGGCTGATGTTTTAGGAAGGCAGGGTATGTCTACACTCCCCTGCTAGTTCGAACTAGCGGGGTAATGTATGCATACCGAACTTGCTAATGAAGCCCGGGAAATTCAAATCCCGGGCTTCATTAGCATAAAGCCGGCGCCGCCATTTTTAAAAGCCGGCTAGTGCGAACCCCGTGCCGCGCGGCTACACGCGGCACGGGCTAGATAGTTCGAACTAGCCGGCTTTTAAAAATGGCGGCGCTGGCTTTATGCTAATGAAGCCCGGGAAATTCAAATCCCGGGCTTCATTAGCATAAAGCCGGCGCCGCCATTTTTAAAAGCCGGCTAGTGCGAACCCCGTGCCGCGCGGCTACACGCGGCACGGGCTAGATAGTTCGAACTAGCCGGCTTTTAAAAATGGCGGCGCTGGCTTTATGCTAATGAAGCCCGGGAAATTCAAATCCCGGGCTTCATTAGCAAGTTCGGTATGCATACATTACCCCGCTAGTTCGAACTAGCAGGGTAGTGTAGACATACCCGCAGTGTCTTCCTCCGCATCATACCGGCTGCCCATGTGTCAGAGTATGGAAAGATGCATCTTGTAAGGAATAAGGGAGGGAAGGTTGGGTTTAGGGTGATGGGTATCTCTCAGAAAGCCTGCATGTGTGGTTGAAGAGGAGAAATTTTCAATGTGAAGAAAAAAAAAGAAAAAATGGCATGAAAAGAACCATGTTGTGAAGAATCCATTCACTCCTTATGTCAAATTATTCCTAACTTATCTTCAATTGCTTAAAGAGATTCCTAAAATAAGTTAAGTTACATTTGACAGAATCACCATTATTTCATAGATAACACTGCAGATGAAACTTCTTTAAAGAGAAACTTTTAGTCTCTATTTCTCTAGGAAACATGAAGTCAATCAATACTTCATAAAAGAAACATTCAAATCTTACAGAAGAATCATTAGGTGTGACAGTTCAGGCTTCTCCTCTATAAACATTCTTCCTTTCAGCCTAAACATTTGCAGATACATCTATGTCCTTATATAAATAATCTTTTCTTGATAGCTGCCTGTATCACGGAGATTATCAATAGTTTCTTTAGCATATTCCGACAGTGCACTGCCTAGTGAACTGAGTTTACTTTATTAGAACTTTAATAGACTATGGTGCTATCAATAGCTGCAGCAGCTTTGTAGAAATAATGCATTCTCTTTTACAAACAGATTAGGTGTTAGTGTACACAAGTGCTTGTGTTGAGAGTAACATATCTTGAATTAAAACACATTTGAACAGCAGCCTCTGTGTAGACTAGGGATGAAAAAGGTGTGCTTATTAGGATGTGCTTACATTTTAAAAAATATACTTTTTTCCTGAGGCTACACAGAGACTGCTGTTCAAATGTGTTTTAACATTTAACATTTTTTTCAATGTATTTTAATTTAATTTATTTTAAAATAATCAACACCACAAACTAACCTCTGATCTGATCCATGTGAAAACATTCTCAACTCTTATAAAAGTGTATTTTCATCTCTATAAGTACAATTTTTCAAGTGCAGGAAAATGCTACAAAAAGCATACTGTGGGACTCTATTTTGGACCATAGAATAAAAATCTCACTATATCTAGAAAGTAATTTTTATCATAACCTTTATAAACTACTATGGGGAAGAGGAGGATGAGGGAGACTAACAGAGTCTAATACATACCTATCAAGTACATAACCAAGAGCCTTATGTCGTATTCCTGAGTAAACCGATGGGCTTGTTTCCCAAGCAATTAAGTTGGAAGCATCATGGAAAAGATGAATGTTTACCAAGTCAAAGGCACTATGACAAAGGAAAAAAAACTGAATTAGGATAAAAGAAAAAAAAACCCATTAGTAGCAAACAGCTCAGCATTCAACACCATAGCACAACATTGTATATTCACTTCTACAGCGACTTATATTTACTCATCCCGACCATGCAAAGTTATACTATCATAATAGATATTTCCACAGAATAGCACCATTCTGACCACAGTTAAGGTTTCTGTTTTAAGTTTATGTATTACACACAATTAGAAACACTGAATTCAATCACAGCTCACAGAGAGAGGTACAAACTGGGCAAATTGTAACATGACAGGGATAACTAGAGTTGGTTGGAAAAATTAAGGTGAAACAGTGTTTTAGAGATTCAGCTAAATTGAAACATTTTGTGAAAATGGTCTGATTTCACTGATGATCTGACGGAACCTACCTGACTTCCTGCCAGCTCATCTGCCTGCCTACCCAGGGGGCTAATAGAGACCCCAGAGTTTCCACGGTCTGTGGCTCTTAGGCAGCTTCCAGGCAGAGAAGACAGCCCTAAAGTTGGTGTTCTATTCCCTTTCAAAGGAATTTTTGGTTTTGTACCTCATTAAATGAAAACAGATCTTGAAATATTAAAATCCTCTGCAAATTAGAATTACCTTTCTCTCACAAGCTTTATGCATAAAAAACTAAATGATCGTGCTTATGTAAACCTTGTCGGCTCTTCCTCCTTTCCCTCTCCCTATTATTGCAGCTTATCTGCCCTAAGAATGGAAGCTTTCTGGGACAGGGAAAGCTATCAGTTGCAGAGGAGCATCTGGATCGGACAGAGAAATCTCTTAGGGTAGATTCTCCATGTTCTAGTAAAGAGGAGAGGATCGAAGATGATAAAGTATGGATCAGATCAGATGAGAAGCAATCAAATGAAAAAGAGTAACACATCAGGAAATGGCAAACAGATAAAAAGTGACAAATTTTTGAAGTGCTTATACAACACCATAGAAGTCTAAATAATAAGATGGGTGAACTAGAGTGACTGGTATCACAGAAACTTGGTGATCTGGCAATTACAGACCGGTAAGTCTAACATCAATATCAGGCAAACTAATTGAAACTATAGTAAAGAATAAAATTGTCAGACTCATAGATGAACACAATTTATTGGGAAAATGTCAATATGCTTTCTGTAAAGGGAAATCATGACTTTCTAATCTACAGCAGTTCTTTGAGAGAGGTCAACAACATGTGGACAAAGAAGATCCAGTGGATACAGCATACTTCGATTTTCAGAAAGCCTTTGACAAGGTTCCTCACCAAAGGTTCTTAAGTGAAGTAAGCGGTCATGGGATAAGAGGGAAGGTCCTTTCATGGACTGATGACTTGTTAAAAGATAGGAAACAAAGGTAAATTTTCAGAATGGAGAGAGGTCTATACATGATTGGTGTTGAAAAAGCGAATAAGGAAAAGTTATTTATTTGTTCCCATAACATAAGAACTAAGGGTCACCAAATGAAATTAATAGGTAGAAGGTTTAAAACACACAAAAGGACATTTTTCTTCACACAGCGCACAGTCAGTCCATGAAACTCCTTGCCAGAGGATACTGTGAAGGCCAGGACATTAACAGGGTTCAACAAGGAACTAGATAAATACATGAAGATTAGGCCCATCAGTGGCTATTAGCCAGGATGGGTAGGAATGGTGTCCATAGACTCCGTCAGAGGCTGGGAATGGCTGACAGTAGAGGGACTGCTTGAATATTCCCTGTTCTGTTCATTCCCTCTGGAGTATCTGGCATTGACCACTGTCAGAAGATAGGATACTGAGCTAGATGGACTTTTAATCTGACCCAGTATGGCCATTCTTATGTTCCAGCCTTTTTCCTGGCTCAATCCAGCTCTGCTCTGGTCACACACAGACTGTAGCAGGAAGATCATTGCTTCCCATTCAAAAATTCACACTCTGTTTTCTTTGGTTTCCAGCTAACACTTCCTGCTTCCTTAGCATTCCTGGAGACTCTTTAGGACCCACTGTCTGTGAGTTTAACCCTTGCAGGCAATTCAGTTAACTAAATGGCTGGGATGTACAAAAAAGGGCAGTAACCATCCCATTCATCACTGAAGTAATGTGTTAAATACAGAAGTGTAGCCAGGATGGTGCAAGCAGGGGACTAACTTGTCCAAGTATATATGAGAGGCCTCAAATGGATCATATTTGGGGTTGCTAGCTCTTCTTACTGCTCATGCTGCTTCAGCTACACTTCTATTTTGATTGCACTAGCTAATCAGAGCTAGCAATGCATATGTCGAATTGAGCTGGAAATTAATCTTTCTAACTTCAGTGTAGACAAATCCTTAGTCTCTCTACTCAGAGAAAAGCTGCTGAAGGAACTATTTGCTAAGGCCGAGAAGCAGAAATGGGAGCCATGACATTCCAAGTTTTATAGAAGGGAAGCCATTCCTTAGCATTTCAAGTGGGGAGAGTCTTTCTCCTTCTCAGTCGGGGGCCACGTCAGTGAGGGTGTAGGTTTTTTTGTTTTTGTTTTTTTACTTCTTGCTTGTGTGCGGCCCCTGACCCAAAAAAGGTTTCCCACCCCTGCCTTAAAGAAATCACACAAAGGCTTGTGGAGCTTCTTCATTTTTGCCCTTTTCTATGAAGAGGCCCTCTAAAGCACAGGCAGAAAATAGCTCTATGAAAATTATGCACAATGTAAAGTTTAATAAAATCATTCAGCCACATAGCCCAATCCCTTAAGCAATTATTTACTTTTAGTTATATAAAAGTAAATAATTTACTTTTAATTATTTACAATTATTTACTCTGTACCGATCCTTGAAAAATGTTTTCTCTAAACAAAGCATCATAGTTCCCCAAAATAGGAAGCCCAAGAAGGCAGCAGTGCAGACCGTGGGGTCCATCATGAGGCAAGAAGAAAAACTTGGTTAGTTACTAATGATTGGTGTTCTATAAACACATATTCCATAAAAGAGCCCCATCCTTGGAGTCACATGGTGTGTCACATGGATTCAGGAACATTAAAAAGCATTAAACTCATCAGACAGTTGCCTGCCTAACTTATGGTCAGCAGAGTTTATCTAAGGAGGAAACTGCCATTCCCTTGTTTCTCACCAAGTGCTCAGCCACTTAATGTGTATATGATAAATACAGCCACCGAGAACAACATTGATCACTTAGGGTACGTCTAGACTACATGGCTCTGTCGACGGAGCCATGTAGATTAGTTTATTCGACCAAGGGAAATGAAGTTGCGATTTAAATAATCGCCGCTTCATTTAAATCAAAATGGCCACCGTGCTGTACCGATCAGCTGTTTGTCAGCACAGCTCAGCAGTTTAGACAGGGATCTGCCGACCCCAGAACCTTTTGTCGGCAGATCCTGTAAGCCTTGTTTCATGAGGCATAAAGGATCTGACGACAAAGGTTTCTGGGGTCGGCAGATCCCCGTCTAGTCTGCTGCGCTGTGCCGACAAACAGCTGATTGGCACAGAGCAGTGGCCATTTTTATTTAAATGAAGAGGTGATTATTTAAATCACAGCTTCATTTCCCTTTGTCATCCTGCCTCATCTACGTGGCTCCGTTGAAGAGCCATGTAGTCTAGACACCCCCTTAGAAACACTGCAGTTGCAATTTTGTCATACAGTTTAAAATCACACTCTCCTTTTAGAATCTGAAATGGCTACACATTGTAAATATCCAAAGAAGAGAAAAATACTTTTTGTTTTCTGTAACCATCTTTGAACAACATCATACATGAAAAACTATAGTAAAGAGTTAGAGAACACAGGAAATGTGGATGGACATCATCAGTTTCAAACACAATGGCTAATGGGAAAGCTGCAACTTGTGGGTCAGGGCTGAAATTCCTTCCTTGTGGTGATGGCTCATATACTGTGGTATATGGTTACCCTATTACAGCCTTATTGCATCTTCCAGTTCTGTATCCATACAATAGAACACTTGATTCTAAGAGTAGGGATCTGTGAAGGCAGTTTGGTGAATACAGTCAGTATTTTTTCTGTTTATTTCCATCATAAGATGGGAACCATGTTCAAGCTTTCTGGAGCGGAGACTCTCCTGTGTTTGTACAGTATCTTTGCACAAATTCCAGTACCAATAGAGATAATTATTAATACAGATTGAACCTCCTAAATCTGGGACTCCCTGGTCTGGCAAAATCTGTGGTCCGGCAGGATCAAGGATGTTGCTGGACCAGAGTCCCCACACTTGGGAGTACGAGCTGGTTGGAAGTCCAGTGGCGGGGAACCCCCCCAGCAGGACTGTCCTGGAGAGCCCCAGCTGCAGTGTGGCACAGTGGGGAAGCCATGGAGCCCCATCCATGGGAAACCACAGCTGGACACAGTAGCAGTGGGGCGGCCATGGAACCCCCAACCCAGTGGGGCAGCCATACAGCCCCATCCCTGACAGAAGCAGGGCATCAGTGGCTGGGAAGTTCTGTCCCTGGAGAGCCCCAGCTGGCTGGCAGAAGCGGGCCAAAGCCAAGCCCAAGCCCTGTAGTAGCAGAGCTGGAGCAAAGTCAGCTGGAAGGAGGGGCAATGTCCTAGAAGGCCGGTGGCAAGTGACCTCCCCGATCCAGCAAATTCCCTCATTCAGCACAGGTGAGGTCCTGAGGGAGCCGGACCAGGGAGGTCCAACCTGTGATATAATTTGCATATAAGCAAAATAAACAGCTTCAGTGATTTAAAAAACTTCCCATGTGACTTCAAAATCTATATGACCTACATAAACACTTTGTCTCTTCTGTCAACATTACTCATTAAGGATATGTTTCAGCAAGCCACTTTAGTACCTATTTAACTTTAAGTACACACATTTTGACTTCAAAGAGACTATTCATGTGTTTAAAATTAGGTAATATCGAGCAGCATAGGGGAACCTCAGGATGCAGCCCCTGGCTTGCCTGGATCCGGTTCCGGAGACTCATGTTCCTCCCCAACATTGGGAAGCCTGTGCTGGCACTCCAGCCTCCTTTCCTCCCTGACTACCCTGTCATGATGCTGGAGCACACAAAATCTACTAAGTTGGGCCCCCCAAGGCTCTGGAGATTGTGAAGAGTGTTTTTCCCACCTGGGGGCCACATCAGTGACGGTTTGTTTTTTTTGCTCCTTACTTGTGTGCGGACCCCAACTGTTTTTTCGGTGGGTCAGCTGCTCCCGACCCAAAAAAGGTTCCCCACCGCTGCTATAAAGGATCCTAAATCTAGATCAAAGGTGCTGCAAACACAGATATCAGAGAGTTAACAAAATTAATGCAAGCAAAAAAACCTGATAAACTATCTACTAAAGAAGCTTCAGGTGCAGATGACCATTAGAAACAAGGTTAATAGCTGATGTGGCTTCTTGCTTCTTCTCAGAAAAGAGCTGTATATGTAATACTGTAATGATCTTGGACATCAATGTTTGGTTGGAAAAAACCCCCACAAGTTCAAAACATAGATTGCTTACCAGGCTGGTGCAGTTTAAGGCACACCAGTTCTCATAGCTGATTCTTTGGAATTCTCATCTCCGTGAACTCATCCTGCAGTGGGGTGAACTAGAGGCAGCCCTTCAGCATGAGACTGGGCAAGACTCAAGCCACAGCCTTAGGCACAGCAGTCAAATGCTTCAGCCACCATGCCTCAACCTACTGGAAGCCATTTACTCTGTGTTGTTGGTGATGTTATTTTTTTTTTTTTAGAATTTAATGGACACCCTTGATATTTAGACCAAGGTTTTCCATTCTCATTACCCAAAACTGTATCAGAAACAACCAGTAAATTCTCCCTGAAATCTGCCATATCTAAGGCAGCATTTTACTAACAGCTTGAACAATCAGAAACATACATTTGGTGTTCGTGAGAAAGAAAAGTGTCTCTTTCTGAGCCAAATATTTATTCCTGGATAAATGAAGGTGAAATTTAACCATTTTTTCTTCCCCATTTTGTCCCTTGCGCTGCTTATAAATTTTGAAGACAAATAAAGAAATGTGCCAATAAGCAAGCAAGCAAGCTTAAATATAGCAATTATAGAAACCCATGCTGAAACTTCTCTGCTTTAGGTCACAGAGATGTGTGACCCATTCCTCAGCCAATAGCCATTCTTCACAATAATGCTGGGCTTTAAAAACTAATGGCAAGTAAAAAATACTGCAAAACTAACGTAAGAGTGAATGTTAGTTCACATGTCTTACTCTCTTATAAGCTTATAAAACACACAAAAATACTGCAAAACTAACATAAGAGTGAATGTTAATTCACATGACTTACTCTCTTATAAGCTTATAAAACACAAGTCAGTTGGGTTTGACAATCTCAAAAGAACGGCCATATGGTGTCAGACCAAAGATCCATCTAGCCCAGTATCCTGTCCTCCGACAGTGGTCAATGCCAGATGTCCCAGAGGGAGTGAACAGAACAGGTAATCATCAAGTGATCCCTCTCCTGTCATCCATTTCCAGCTCTTGGCAAACAGAGGCTAGGGACACCATTCCTACCCATTGTGTCTACTAAGTATTGATGGACCTAACCTCCATGAATTTATCTTGTTCTTTTTTAAACCCAGTTAAAGTCCAGATCATCACAACATCTGAACAAATCATCATGTCGTGATATAATACAAACAACTGATAGTCAAGTACTGTCAGAGTCCCACATTTTTCAAACAGATCACAAAATAGTTTGTCACATTATTGATAGTAGGTCCAGATAATTTGTCTTCTCTGAACTTTCATACAGTTTGTCTTATTATATCGTACTTAGTTTCCCAAATGTTTAAATTATTTTCTAAGTAACATTATTTTAGGAGAAGTTACTAATTCATCTCAGGGCTACACAACTACAAAGTCACGCTTTGCTAAGCACTCTTAAAAGGAAAGGATTGTAAAATATCTTAAATATTCACCATTTTAACGGAATATATTTATATTTAAAGACCTGTGCAGCAATAATAATTTATTAGAAACAGGAGACATCATGTATCATGACATTTATAAAAGTGAGTTTTACCACTTGTCACTTACAATTTACTGAGCATTATTATGCATATAATAAAGCTTAGCATGAACTGTCTTTTTTTTTGGCAAATAAGTGATATACATAACGTTTCTCCCAGAAAATATACATGAAATAAAGATAACCATAAATAACTTAATAGGATACAACATACCAATCAGTAATACACCATCTTGTTCGAATGAAGCCTTTTCTGGACCATTTACACTGAAAAATAAATAAGCAATTTTAATCAGTCAATTTATATGAAGGATTGGTGGGAGTGTCTGAAGAGGTTAAATGTATTTACAAGAGAATATTTTTAAACTGTTTATTGAGGACAAAAAACAAACAACCCATATGACGTTTAAATAAAGTGCACTATGAACTACAGGCAGTCCCCGGGTTACGTACAAGATAGGGACTGTAGGTTTGTTCTTAAGTTGAATTTGTATGTAAGTTGGAACTGGTACATATTGTAGGGGAAACTCTAGCCAAACATTTCTCCAGAGCTCAGTTTTATTCTCCCACACCTCACTTCCCTCAGTCCTTTATTCTCAAGCTGAGGTGTCGGCTGAGAAAAGCCCCTCCGCATCTCCCTGGTCTGCTGAGGGGGGCGGGGCGCTAGCTTCGCGTCTCCCTGGTCTGCCTGGGGGAAGCAGCTAGTGCGGGGTTGCCTCACCCTGTTTGTAAGTAGGGATCCGATGTAAGTCGGATCCATGTAACCCGGGGACTGCCTGTACACAAACAGGATCAAAATAAAATATTATTCCCTATTAGAAGGACTTAAAATGCACTGCTTACTTCTTTGTTTCATTAGTTTAAGAATAAACTTGCAAAAAGTACTTAAAAATGGATGACCTGGGTCATCTGAAAAAGTGGACTGTGCCCATGAAAGCTCATGATACCATCTACATATTTTGTTAGTCTATAAAGTGCTACCAGACCTTTTACTGTTTTTTAAATTTATCCTGTACAGACTAACTCGGCTACCCCCTAAAGCTATGTACAGTGCCTAGTACAGTGGGCTCCGACCATTGTTGGGGCCTCTAAGTGCTACCATAATAAAAATAATAGCAATATTTAAAAAATGGAGTCACTTTTAGATAAGTGAGTACTATCAGGGAAATGATTATTACATTTCTACTTTAAATTAAATTAATGGAGATTGCCTATCTCCTAGAACTGGAAGGGACCTGGAAAGGTCATTGAGTCCAGTCCCCTGCCTTCACAGCAGGACCAAATACCATCCCTGACAAATTTTTGCCCCAAATGGCCTCTGCAAGGATTGAACTCACAACCGTGGGTTTAGCAGGCCAATGCTCAAACCACTGAGCTATCCCTCCCCCCTAACTACTTTCAGAATAAACATATCCCTAAAAAAATCATCAACCAATTCTTACCAATTGTTGCCTTAATTGGTTGTAGATTTAACTAACTGGTGATGCTGCATCATAGAATTTTACATTGAATTTAAATTAATGGGCTGGTTTAAAAACTGTATGTTTTCCACAGATTCTGCATACCTAATAATTTGATAAAAATTAAAGTGAATTTAAATGAGAAGTATAAGAATAAATTCATAAAAACAGCAACATCCTTGGTAAAATATAAATCAGCTACTGCCAAGGTATAATACTGCCGGCATAGCAAAATAATTCTTTCAGCTGTGGTCCTAAATTGCTCTACCAAAAAAAATTAAATTAATTACATTTAAAAAGCCATTTGAAGTAGGAATAAGATCCTCCGGAAAAGGGCGCTTTTTCCGGAGGATCGGGGCCAGTGTAGACGCTCTTTTCCGGCTTTTCTAAAAGCCGGAAAAAAGCGGCGGACATTTTTATTTAAATGCCGCGGGGGATATTTAAATCCCCCGCGCATTTCCCTATTGCGATTTCAAAAATTACCATGCCCCTTCCGGAAAAGGGGCCAATGTAGACGAGCCCTTAGATGAAATTATCCATCCACCCTCAAAACTCTACCCGTGGATGCTAAAGAATTCCAAAGTACCAAAAGGCACCAAGAGAACCTGCTTCTCTACACAAATAAAAATCCTCCAATCCCATAGCTTTCATCCACAAGCACACAGTGGAACCCATATACAGCATATCATCAAATAACTGCAACCAATAACTGATGGATACTCATCCCAAAATCTTTCCTGAATGTCATCTTTATCAGAAGCAAGCTCCCTACATACCAGGAACCGCCAAATCAAAGTGGCACCAAGTCCTTTCAGACACATGCAAAAGCTGCAGACATATCTCCACCCTTTTCAAGATCTATTGGTTCTAGCTACCTAATCACAATGTATGGTGTATTTCTTCCTGTGCACTACATGCCCTAGTAACTCTGTGGGAGATACCAGATAATCACTGCTTTCTCATATCAACTCATACAGGAAAATGACAAAAGACTGCATTCCCTGTTGGCAAATACTTTTCAAAAAGCAATCACTTTTTTTGACCTATCAGTCTTTTATTCTCCAAGGAAACCAACACAACATTTTCAAAAGATGATCTTGCAAGCGTACATTCACAACTTTGCTAGACACTAAGAATCACAGTCTTAATAAAGACACTGGATTTATGACATACTACAAAAATTGTAATCACTAACCTTCCCTTTTTGCCCCATGACGACTACAGGGTGTTAATGATCTACTTTCCCTTGAATAGTCTCACAGAATATAGGCTAACTACTTACACTAAAAGCGATGAGGAGTCCTGTGGCACCTTATAGACTAACTGAAGTGTAGGAGCATAAGCTTTCGTGGGCAAAGACCCACTTCGTCAGATGCATGCACATGCATCTGACGAAGTGGGTCTTTGCCCACGAAAGCTTATGCTCCTACACTTCAGTTAGTCTATAAGGTGCCACAGGACTCCTCATCGCTTTTAGTGTAAGTAGTTAGCCTATATTCTGTGAGACTATTCAAGTGAAAGTAGATCATTAACACCCTGTAGTCGTCATGGGGCAAAAAGGGAAGGTTAGTGATTACAATTTTTGTAGTATGTCATAAATCCAGTGTCTTTATTAAGACTGTGATTCTTAGTGTCTAGCAAAGTTGTGAATGTACGCTTGCAAGATCATCTTTTGAAAATGTTGTGTTGGTTTCCTTGGAGAATAAAAGACTGATAGGTCAAAAAAAGTGATTGCTTTTTGAAAAGTATTTGCCAACAGGGAATGCAGTCTTTTGTCATTTTCCTGTATGAGTTGATATGAGAAAGCAGTGATTATCTGGTATCTCCCACAGAGTTACTAGGGCATGTAGTGCACAGGAAGAAATACACCATACATTGTGATTAGGTAGCTAGAACCAATAGATCTTGAAAAGGGTGGAGATATGTCTGCAGCTTTTGCATGTGTCTGAAAGGACTTGGTGCCACTTTGATTTGGCGGTTCCTGGCATGTAGGGAGCTTGCTTCTGATAATGACGACGTTCAGGAAAGATTTTGGGAGGAGTATCCATCAGTTATTGGTTGCAGTTATTTGATGATATGCTGTATATGGGTTCCACTGTGTGCTTGTGGATGAAAGCTATGGGATTGGAGGATTTTTATTTGTGTAGAGAAGCAGGTTCTCTTGGTGCCTTTTGGTACTTTGGAATTCTTTAGCAGGTCTTTGCCCACGAAAGCTTATGCTCCTACACTTCAGTTAGTCTATAAGGTGCCACAGGACTCCTCATCGCTTTTGCAGATTCAGACTAACACGGCTACCCCTCTGATACTTACACTAAGCTATTTATGGGAACTTGTATTTAGCTGTGACCATCTGAGTACCTTCCCCAGACTTGAAGAAGAGCTCTGGGCAACTCAAAAGCTTGTCTCTCTCATCAACAATGTATTTAGCTGTGACCATCTGAGTACCTTCCCCAGACTTGAAGAAGAGCTCTGGGCAACTCAAAAGCTTGTCTCTCTCATCAACCACAGATGGTCCCATAAAATATGTTACCTCACCCACCTTGTCTCCCTAATATCCAGGACAAATATGTCTACAACAGTGCATACCTAAAGTCAAAGCAGACTACTTGCTCATTATCTGTCAGATGAGCACCACTTCTTACGTTCTTCTCTTTGACAGTATGTCTGCCCTCCTGGCAATTCGATCATTTAAAAATATTACCTCCCTAATTCTTGTGGCAATAAACCAACAGTAACCAATAAGAAGAATGAAAATATTACACGGTCCCTTTACTAAGGTCCCCTCAACTCCAACAAAATCCTCCTTATACTCAAAACAGTTTACAGAGATACATTTAAAATATTTACTGTATTGACTAAATAATAACTAGAACTTAGTAGCTAGAAGGTGAAAACTACTTCTTTATACAGGTTGTACCTCTCTAGTTTGGCATTCTCTGGTCTGGCAACATCTGTGGTCTGGCATGATTTTAATTAGCCAGATGTCCACTTAGCATGGGTGTTGCCAAGTTTCCTCTGGGCTCATAAAATTTGTTCACAGCCACCAGTCCTGGCTCTCAGTGCTCTGGGCTGTTACTTAGCTATAATTTATTCCTAAAGAGCCTAGTAAGCAATGAAAGTGTTGATAATGCTGCTAGACAATATTGACTTGCCATAGTTCAGCACTGGTTAGGTCTTGGGGGTGCTGGACTACAGAGGTTCAACTTATAGGAATCTTTTCTTTTAACACAAGTTCCCAGTACTTTGTTCAAAGTAAAAGACTATTTAAGCATTTGTTTTGGAAAAAATATACATTTATATAATCTACATAATTGTAAGAGAAAAAAAGTGAATCCACTTTCTAGTCTACAGTCTTTGACAGTATTCTTTTAAAATACATATATACAAGATCTGAATTCAACAATCCCATCTGTTGAACAGATCTCAAATAAGCAGATTAACTAAAGAACAGTTTTGGATGAAACATGCTAGGGAGAATTGATGGCATCCTCATACATTTCATATAGTTTCGTCAGCTTTATATTGATTCAGCAATTGGAAAAACAAGGAAATGTTCAACTGAAAATAGTAACAACTTCAAGAACACTGCCTAACAATACAGTGTTTTATCCAAAGTCTCAATGTTTATATTTGCTAATATGGACACATTGCACGATGAAAATTGTTCTTCTATTTTTTTTTTATAACTTGAATTATGTCTCCATAATTTCAGCTAGCAGTGTGGCATTCCAGACCACTTTTCTAGTCCATTGATAGCTTTTGTAAATATGTTAATAAAATTAGCTTTGAAGAGTTCTTCTTTATCCT